AGGTCGATGATCGATTTGATAATCGCATCGTCTGACGTACGACACTCTGTAATGGATGTTCGCGTTAAGAGAGGCGCAGAGCTGTCAACCGATCACCACCTTGTTGTTGGCACGCGACGCTGTGAGGGATGGAGTACCAAGTGAAGATCTGGAGGCAGAAGCCAGCAGAGGATCAAATGGGAAATATTACGCTCTGCAGATATCAGGGAAAAACCTGCAAATTGCATCACACGATGGATTGAGCAGATCCCGTGGAAAAGGAGTAGAAGTTTTATAAGATCGGGTTACTCGGTACTGCCACTGAATTTTGCGATTTAAAACGGTTGGTCTGCCACCTGAAGGTCAGAAACGAATATCCTAGTGAACATGAGAGGTTCAACTGGCTATCATTGAGAAGAATGCTGCCCTCAAGAAATGGCGTTTAAGACAAGAGCGTTCAACCCAATTACAGGAGGAAGAACCGCGCAAGGTGATAGTGAAATCAGTGGCTAACCCGTAAGTTCATTCCTTACGTTTTGACACCAAATCTCCAGTCAGGAAACAAGGTATTTTGGCATTCGACTTGAAGACTCGAAGATGGAAGAAAGCACAGCCTGACAGACGTGAAGGACAAGTTCGGACGCCCTCTTACGGAGGACGAGAAAATTCTTTGACGATTTAGAGAGTACCTTGAGGAACTCCTTTATCCTGAGCAACTGCATGAAGACTCATCTGGAGGACACAGGCAACAGACGTCTGTATTGCAGCTGGTGAAGTCACAGAAGCTGTAAAAGCTTGAAACATGGCAAAGCTGTTGAAATCGATGATATCCACCTGTGTGAAGAGTGTGAAATGGAAGTTGTTTGCATATGGTCATGAGTGGTACGCCATGACTTAAACACTTTGATCCTGAAGACAAGCGGCTAAAATTACTTCACTGAGACCACTCGGAGAACTCCCTCGTCTCGACATGCACCAGATTGAGAATTCAGATCTGCTATGGTCTGGGTATCTCTTTCGAATGCTTGGAGTGATGAAGACAGTGACCTACTACTTGCTTGAAGTTGGCTGAAGACCCCTGGGACAACCATGAATGGCCTGATGCAAGTGACGCCACAGACTCTTCTCCCTGCTTGCATTATCTTCTGTCGAAGTTAGATGATCAGCACAAAATTGGAAACGCCGAAGATTCTGTTTGGCGTGTCTCTCTACCTCGAAGGATGAGGCAAACGAAACTGACCAGCTGACAACTTTGTCTTTTTGTGGTTTATAACTAGACACCTTTGGGGTTGGGAGCGGACGTACTTTCCCCGGTGAATTTGAGACTCATCAGAAGACAGTTGAAGCAATGGAGCCCTGATGCTATGGAAATCTTCCGGGACCTAAAAAAGTGTGTTCTCATCATCTAACCTCTGACTGTGATATGACTGTGTTTGTTGTACCGATAGTCATGCAACTCGTTCGATTTTCGACCAGTGTACGTTTGGATTACACAGATTTGCTTTAAAAATACGAATTGATTTCATACTTTCTGCACATTAAGTAATAATGAGAAACTCACTAATTACTTCGCCGTGCATCCACGTTGTATCTGATCGTTTGCTGATTCGTTTCCATTGTTGCTCCCTTTAACTTTTATGAAATTGATATCAGGGTCGACACATTTGCGACTAAATGTTACCGGAGTAGGCAAAAACAGTACAAACCTGGAGCTAGAAAGGCAATGATCCATAAAACAGTATATTTCTTTGCCAGTGCTTCATTGGCCGGCCATTGTTGAATTTGCAATAGGTGGTCAGGACAGCAGTGGGGCATGCTGTGAGAATGTTTAACCCTAATTGTTCTATTATATACCTATGTTTTCTCTTATGAATTATGTGAGCCAATTATGTATCGGCTTTCAACAATTTAGGTTCAGTGTTTTAATTAACATGTTTCCTGTTTCCCCTATCGAAAGATT